TGTGCTATCTCATCTGGCAATCCGCGAAGAAATGCGTTCAGCGCGGTGCCCGTTATCGGTTTCAGGATAGCGGGCGCTTGTTCCTCGTGCTCGATTTTAAGGAAGTCCTCCATTCCAACTAACGAGGCTCGGATACGGTCATGAAATGCATACACTGACTCGTCACGGTGCACACGAATATTAGCGATTTTGAGATAATAATCGTTAAACGTCCTATCCGGCGTAAATCGAAGCTTTAAATGTTTTATCAATTCCGGGACGGTTTCAAATCTCAACCCGTGAACACTATCGCGAGCTTCTCCTCTCAGTTTGGAGATTACGGGGCGCAAAAACCCGCGCGTTGACGTCGTTGGAAGACTTTCCGCATTGTATTCTACTTCCGTTAGAAAGTCTGCAAACTGAGAGGAGAAGCTCGCGATAGTGTTCACATTACGCCCGGGCGTAACAATATATTCTTGTATGTGCATAATAATAAAAATACTATAGTCTCTTCGATTATTTTTTAAGACCAAATATATAAGATTTTAAATTGCAAGGAAATTTAGAACAACTCAAACAATCTTGCATTCTAAATATTAAATTTGTAAAAGATTATTTATTTAAATTATTATATAGTAAATTTTATATTTAACATTTTATTTGATATTATTTCTAATATACCGTTGTTACATAAATATTTGGTATTAAAACCATGTATAACTAACCGTAATACGCCACAAGAGTGGAAGAAATTTATAAGAATGAGCGTGCCCCAAGGAAGCAAATGTGGCGGCCGACCGCGAACCAAGGCCCAGGTCACCGAGGCGCCGGCCCGCGAAGCGACCCGGCCAAGCCGCGTCCACCCGACGACCGTCCGCCGAAATCACCGGCCAAAAGGTTGGCGGAAGCAGCAGCTTTGACCGCAGCACCGGATCTGGGGAACCCGGCACCAGCGACACGCAAACCGGCCCCAATATCGGCGCAGGCAGTAGCAGACGCGGCCTGGGCCAGCCGACGAGGACACTGGCCGCCGCCTGCACGGTGGACCACGCGGACAGAACGGACCAGCGGACACCATCCCGTACACCTTGGCGGATGGAACAGTAGTCCAGATCTACACCCGCATAAAACGACATCGTTTTACCCGCAATGGGCGCAGATGGACACTAATCTTGGACGACAAGGGAAGGATCATCCGCTGCGTCTACACAGAGGTAATTTTCCTGGCCATCCACATATTTCGCGTGACCAGCCGAATACGCCTGGTCTCCCCGGAGGAGAAGGGATCGCAGTCTTCCTTTGGACTGCACAGCGGTCCACCGATTCCACCTCCGCCACCGTCGAGAGGAACGATATCCGCAGGATCATCCGCTCCGCCTCCTCCGCCACCACCTCCGACACCTTTCGGTGGAGGACCTCCACAGCCGCCTCCGCCACCTGGAAGCATACCTGCTGCACCACCGCCACCTCCGCTCATTGGAATACCTGGAGCACCTCCTCTGCCTCCGCCTCCGGCAGGAACCGTACCGACAGGACCTTGTCCTTTACCTATACCTCCGGTTGGAGGTTGGAACCCTGCAAGCAGAGCGTGTATGAGAAAAGAACCTCTATGTCCCGAGGTACCTATGAAACCGCTCTATTGGACGAGGATCCTGGTACCAGTGGTGCCCACAGAACGTGGCTCCATCGACGCTGGATTGACTGTTCGCAGTTGCCTTGTCGATTCCGAGGAAGCAAACCTACGAAACCAGGATGGCCGGCATCGCTTGGGTATATCGCCTGAAGAAGAACCAGGTAGTCAACGAGCTACGTAGACTACACCAGCCAACGCTGGGAACGTGGGTCCAGCTCCGGACCAGTCTGGTAGACTGCGTCCGAGAACACCAGGACGAGTTTCCAGACAAGCCGGGATACAAGGAGGAAGTCGACCGTACCCGAGATTACGAAGAGTTCCACGCGGAGATGGCCCTGGAATGGCTCCGAACACACCTGGGGAACCGTCCGGCCACGGCCACATCAACACCAAACCGCGGGGAAGAGACGAACGCCGAGACAACGGCGTCTCCAGCAGGTCCATCCGCTCCACTAGAGCCAGCCGTCCGACACCACGAAGACCGGGTAAAGACGATGGAGATCATGAGAAAATGGAACTGCCATTTTGACGGACGAGACCCGCATGCGTTCCTGGAGCAGCTAGAAGAACTACAAGATGCGTACGGCCTAACCGACCACCAAATGGGTTCGGGCTTCACTCAATTATTACGAGGCGAAGCCCAAAAATGGTACAGAAACGCAGCAAACAAAGTATGCTCGTGGCCGAACCTCCAGGAACAGCTACGAAAATTCTTCGTACCAGCCGGGGAAAAGAGGCGATTGGAACAGCAAATCGCCGGTCCCAAACAAGGTCCGGACGAGCCACTGAGGACCTTCATTAACGAAATAACCACGTTAATGCGCCGCAGAGGAGAACACACCGAGTCAGAGGTCCTAGACGCGATCTACTTCAATATGAAGCCGTCGTTTCAGCTGTACATCAACCGAGCTGAAATTAAAGAAGTCAGCGACCTGATCACCAGAGCAGAAACTGTGGCCGAGCTCATGGCCGCAGAACAAGCCAGCAAAACAAAAGGCGAGGAGCAACGTGCTGCCAGGACGATCGCTTGAATTTAGCTGGCACGGTTTTTTCATTTAAGTATCGTGTGGCCTTAGCGGCTTCATTAAATAGCTCATCATGTGCATCCTCCGCACCTATATCCATTAAAAATTGCGACAGTTTGGAAGTTCGGAATGATGCTGCAAAACTGTTTATACATAAACTTCTTTATATAATTACATTCACACTCGCCAAATTTATCTAGTATGTATATATGTATTGTCATGATATTACGATATTATTGTGATATTACCTGTAATGCTTTCATTCGCTGTAAATTCATTCGCAGATGATCTTTCTATTTCTCTTTCTTCGTTATTATAAAACAAGGATATTTTATTTAATAAAATATCGAATGTCACTCTTTTCTGTATATCATTTAACAGACGATTTTTTACACGTGTATCAATGAGCATTGCAAGAATAATAGGCTCACAAGTATAAGTAAACTCGAACCTCTGTTTAGAAATTGTCGTTATATTTGTAACGAAATCTTGAAATAACTCATTAGAATGCTCTGTCGAAATAGATTGCATTGGTTTTTCTATGCCAATCTTTCTCACTCGCTCCTTGTGGCGAGATGCGAGCGGGCCAAATCAAACGAGACCAAGCTCCGAAACAATAAATAATAATTAATGAGCAATGTTTTTTTTTTATTCGCGAATGTTCGAAAGCTATGCTGCTGCTCAGTAACAGTATTAGAAAACGTTCCATAACGGTTTCATCGGTGTATAATGTACGCGTATACGTCGATGCTACGTACAATTATGGCCCGGCTAATTGCATTATCTAGCTTGCAAATGTGTGAAACTTGAACGTTGCCGCTCGTACATTCGACGCGCGCACCGCGTCCAACTATGTTACCTGATTAACCAAACTGAATTATCAGCAGGAATTATGTAAGTTACCCGTGACAGATCGATAGGAAAGCTGTCGATATTGATTCGAGCTACGAGTTGCGAATAAATTATAAGGTCATTGTATACGTAACGACGTTAGAATAATTAACGCAATCTCTGCTTTAATCAAAAGAAATAAGTCTACCAGTCTGATCATTCGATTTTAATATTTCACTCGTTGCCTTGTGATTTTCTTTAAATAAAAAGAAAATTAAGAACGCTTATCAGTCATGAATTCACACGCTAGTTTAGTGATACCAGAGTTCATTAGATTAAACGATATCTAAATTTACGAGTATCCTACTGGACAAAAATCACGACCGTCCAATACGTATTATTACTACTTTCTCCGAACGGGTTTCAATATTTATCACGCCATAGAAAGGTGCTGTCGAGGTTCCGTAACGCTAACACGCGCGTTATAACGATTAATTAACACCCATGGTTAAAGAAAATGCTGGAACTTGTGTACCTCTTCTTCGATCAACACGTCTCAATTCAGTAAACGATAACACTCGATTCGAACGGTATCGGTGTATTTCTATTCCTCTTACAAAAATGTACCTCGTTTAGATTGCAACTATTCATTAATCTTCTCTCTGTCCAAGTGATCCGGCAATTAGCTCAATTTAGATAGTATTATATCTTGTACCGAAAAAGAATTATTTGCTTAGATCAAAATCCTGCGGAACGTGATTTAATTCCCAGCCTCGGGAAACGGTACATAATAACAGAGTCATTTTAAATGATCCACTAGCTGGCTCAATTTCCTGGCGAATGTGTAAAATAATTGCACGTATCGTCGAGAAGATTACGCGCAAAAATTGAGGCTTATTTCAAGTTTCGTTTTAGTTTATTAATAACGCAGAATCGTGGATTGCGCTTATTAATAAAAATATCTGCATAGAGATCTCTGTATACGGGATGTTCCATTCTTATTTCAAAAGCTATCGATTTTATAAAATAATTTTGGATTTCTTTGAATTTTAACCCTTAAATTTAAATTTAATTTTTAATCCTCTTTTTTCTATAAAAAAAATTTTCCTTCGCTCGATTAACTTAAAATACTCGCGCCTGAAAAATATCATTTTGAATGTATTGCTTTTGAGACAGCCCGTATAGCGGCTACCAATTTCTGCTCTACTGAGCGTAATCGTTCGACCGTGATAATATAGGATGTATATTACATGTAATACACGATACGTCTTGCTACGCCGGCCGCAATTATTCCGCACATTCTCCATCATTTCCTGTAGGTCAGTGTGAAATTCATTGCTTTCCATCGCTGATGTTTTCCGACATGTGTCGTTTGTTTTTTTTTTATCCTGCACCAGATGTGCCTGTCCTCGGAAACGTTTGTAAATGAGCATGTTCCCGTAACGATATCCTTTGTCCCTCGCATGAACCCAATGGTTATATTTTGTGCGTTTAATTAACAGAACGGGCTCTTTTTTTGACCGTTGCGCAGGATGTCTGAAATGAAAGATTCGTCGTTGGGTACGGAGAAATTTGATGGGATAAGGAAGTCGAAGGTGTAATTTTCTAGAGTATAATTATTAAAAACAAAATAAGCTATCGCGGATCTAGGCTCTCTTTAATGCATCACTTAATCGGTGCACAGGAATTTTATCGCGCAAAAACATGATCCGTGAAAGGATGAAAATGTTAAAAGCATTCTTTTGTTTCAACGACCAGTAAAATCGGACTCGTTTTTGCCATTTCAACGGAATTCGAGATTTCACTTGATAAGTACAGTTCGTTGCACAGCGGTTTTTGTGAACCATCCGTGACAAAGTGAAAGTTGTTTTTTCCAAGAAAACCGTGAAAATCTCGGAGCAAGGATTTTCTCGTCGTTCTAGAAATCTAATATGGAGATGTCTGGGGAAAAACGTGACGGGCCTTAGGAGCCATTTTCAGTGATACATTTCGCAATTGCTAATTAGGATACAAATTAATTCCAATAAACAGACACACCATTCTGAATACTTGTTCCAATTTTTATTTTCTTATCATAATTCCAAGTTACACGTCGAACTTTCATATTATTCCTTGTGTCGTCGTAAATCAATGCGTTTTTGCCACCAAATTGATGTCGTATTAAATATCTCGTTAATATTGTGCTGTTAAAAACTGCAATAATTGTTGGTCGTTATTAAACCGTTAGTGGCTGCTAATTACACTCGAGAGGGCTGTTGATTTACGATTCTAAGTACAACACACCTTTCCCCTTCCCCTTCCTATTCACTTTCTTCCAATTCTTGTTCTCTATTTACGGGAGCATAAATACTTGGATGCTTTGGTCACGGTTACTATGTTACGACGAAAGGAGAATTCGATCGGCTTTCTCCGAATAATTTATCTGCCTCTTCCAAAGACAATTTACGAATCGGTGTTTAATTGAACGAAAGTAGGGTCCCGGTGTTATTTATCGAATGGTCGCGCGTTCATTTGCTCTTGATAAGACTAATTATTCTTACCACCGTATTTTTCAACACTTTCATGAGCGCATATTTCGTGGGAATAAGAAAAGGAAATTAACTATTTCATATTAACCGAGTAACCGCATTTCACGAAATAATTGAAACGTACCGCTACTCTGCAAAAAGGAAAAATTAAATCCTACCAACTTTTCATCACGTGATTATATTTCTACATAGTATGAAAAGCAATCTAATTCGACGAAGAAAGCATATCACTGTAATTATCTCGTACTTAAATGCTCTTTTATAATGATACCTTTAAAGCTTTCATATTTTATGTGAAAACATTCTGGATATTATATAGAGTAAGAAAAACACGAGATAGAACTGATACCGCGGAGAAAGTGTAATAAATAACGTGACATTTTCTCTGTGAGTCTTACAGTTTTTGTGTAATTTGTTACTGGATCAGTGTTCTTAATAAATAATTATCGATTAGATTCTAAATTATGTCAAGGGGATTAAGTACACTTTCTACACTTTGTATCAGAGTTTCATACATTTCAAAAAAAAAAAAAATTCATTTTAGAATATCCTAGTTTGATGAAAGCGAGACTTCGGTATCTCTCCGTCTGTGAAATCGTGTGCGTACTCGTTTTTAAGGGCACGGTGTATAGTTCGAAAGAAGAAAGTACCGGAGGAAAGTATAAACGAAAAAAGGGGTCACTGAAGCCGTACGAAGTGAATATGCGTATAGATATAAGCAGCTTGACCTGAAATGTCTGTTCAATTATTCCTACTGACATGACGCGATGCCAAAAAAAGACACGTGTATCGTGTTCGGTATTAATAATCAAAACTTTTTCGTTACATCGAGACTGAAAAAAATTTTTATCGTTATAAAGATCAGCTACTTTGGAAAGTAACTTTCACCAGGAGCTAGCAATGTTTATCAAGAATTTACGAAATATAAAATAAAATTATTTCCTCTGAATTGAACGGTTGTGTCATTATGGAATTTTTTTTTTTCAGGTATGTTGGAGAAATGGGAGTCCCTTACGACCAGAGTCGAGGAAACACAAATGGCGAGCGCGCTTCATCGCGAATTGACAGCTTTGCAAACGGAATTCAAAGCAGCACACGACAGGCTCTTCTCTTATGAAATCGCATTGGAACAGCCGCACCTGTTGGATGAGCGCCTCAATCGTATCACGGTAAGAATTGTATAATCGCTAATTACGATGCAAATAACACTGCACGTAGCAGTTCTGTCTCGTTAAGCTCTCGTACAGACTCGAGTATCAAAGTCTGCGCGAATAAAAAATTTGAATTCGATATAAGAGCGCATACTTTCGCGCATTTTCTTTCAAACGTTTCTGGTTCGTGTCTAGTATAACAATGTCGGTAATGGTTCTATTGTCGGTAAGCGAAGTAGGTTTCCCTTCACCGGTCGGAGCTAGAACAGAAATTCACTATACCGACTATGAAACAGGAAACCCTTTTACCATGTTTGCGACCTGTAGATGGCGGTATGTTGTTCCGTTTTTTAAAGTGGGAAATAGACAAGCGCGCGACTAGTATTATAAAAGAAACATTTAACTTTTTTTTAAAAGTATATCTTCTTCAAATTAATTTGTCTATCAGCAAATTTCTGAAACACTGAAATTTCTTTAACTTATTGTTAATTCCTTTTCAACAAGATACATTTAATTACCATTGAATTTGAAAGCGATCTATGCGGAACAAGCTTCGGCATTATTAAAACCATCGCGGGAAGATGGTCGCGGCGCGAGTAGGGTGGGACGAGTTGAAAGTAGGCGAAATAGAAGTAAGAAAAAGAGGGAAAGGGGGTGGTAGCGTAGAGGGTTGAAGTCGGGAAGTGGGCGTAGGGGGTGGCAGCGAAGGAAGACGAAGAGGAAGAGGAGGGAGGGCAGTCAGGAGGCAAGGATAGAGGCAGAGAGTGGCGTAAAAGCGTAGTCGTGTCGCACGTACGCTCGTCTGACGGCGACGTGCTCGACATCGCAACTCGCGAGTGAACGCCGAGCGAACCTAGCCAACCCTCTGAGTTTCCAACCCCCGAGAGTCATCCCTGCCTAACCTCCCAACCCCTCTCTGGAAACCTCTGGAACACCCTACACCTCCACCTTCCGCTCGCCGTCTCTGTCGGTTATTTTCTACGATTTTCTCCACCGAAGACTCTCCTTCTCATTTTCGCCTTCTTCACTTTCTTCTCTTCGATCCATCGTCTTCCACTTTTTTCCTTCCTTCCTTCATCTTTTTCTTGTTCGGGTATCCGGCTTCCCCTGTATCCCCGACATTATCCCTGTCGGCCTCATTGCGAAGACCAAACACATGCTCCCTATCTATCATCAAGATGTATTAGCGTCCAACATTTGCCGGCTGAACTGGTCGGTGTGCTGCATTATGCAGCAGGTAACCCAGGCGCGAGGATGTCTGGCCACCAAACCCGACATGATCCTTCTTGTTTTACATGTTTCTCCGCGGGTTGTACCAGCCTTGCGAGACGTAACAAATAATCTGCATTCGATAGAGTACCTAATTCCCATTTTCAGTGATCGCAGACTTGGCTCGCACGGACGCGAAGCATGGAACTTTTTCCTCTAATCAACGCCGTTTATCTATTTCTAAAGCAACGATACGATTGACCTGAAAGCCGGTCAATCGAATGGTCGCATTCAGTTCCGTGTCGAGTGCCGATTCGACATTAAACCGTGGACGAATCGATTAACCGCGATCGTTCACGGGTGCAGCGACGGCGACGAATATATTTGTCATGCACGACGTACGAGGAAAAGCGCGACGGAATGAGCGAGTGGCACGGCCACCCTCTAGAGGGTAGAGGGTTGGTGTGGAGCTTTGGACTGGGGCCCCAAAGGGAGAGGGGGGGTTCATGCGGTAGGTGGTTACGGGTATGGAGCGGGCTGCTTCTGGCTTCGCGATGTGCCTGGAATATCAATGCCTACCACTTTTCGTTGCGACCGCTGTTGAACAGCGGTGCAAACCTGCGTCCTTCTTTCTCTTCATCCCTATGATTCTCCTTTTCTAGTTTCCAAGAGCAAGCCGACTGTCCATGCTGGTACGCACATCGAGCGTGAACCATCGCGTCTCGCCATCGCTTTTCACGCGTCTGACCTCTTTGATACCGTGCCCGGAATCACGCCTGTATCCGTCGTTTACTCGTGCTCGGCTTTGCATAAATTATTGCCTCCCGTGAAGAATACCGATTCGCCGTCGAGTCTTTCGCGAACACTTTACTTCGAGCTACGATCAAAGCGTTCGGTGAGGTCGCGTTAGTAACCGGTTACCCATTTCTACAATTGAATTTCTTTTACAAAAAAAGAAGGAAAAAGAAAGCGAAAGAAAATTGCTGCTGTGTATACGAAAAAGGTGCAGAGATCGAAATCAAATGATAATGATAAATCACGGTAGCTGTAACGGATGAAAAACGGTACGTGACATGCGTGTTACATAAATCTGATCTCATCAAATCCCATCGACGACACCATAAATCTTGAGCTTTGTCGATGCAGTCGAGAGAAATCCGTTGATCGATGAAGGCTGATAAAAGTGTTAAACCAAGACTGAATGTTCGCACTTTATCAAAACCTGTTTAAACGACAGAAACAAAAATTCATTACTATTATGTAATTAAAACAATCTACTCTCTCCTATTAATTCACTAGAAACAAAAACGTTACATTTCAAAAAAAAAAAAAAAAATTCCGTCAATCCCAAAAGTTCCTCGATTTTTCATCCCTCGATTCACCGCCCTGAACTTTCAATTTACCAGAAAGCGGGAGCTAGCTTTTGGTAGGAATTCGTGTTCGTTCGAAGATCGACGTACAATATAAATGCAAGAAGGAAGGAGTAGTAAAGCTTGTCGTTTCTTCGGCAGAAATTACTCGGTAGAGTACGGGTTGTAAGCTGGATGACCGCAAGTAGGACGATCTTTACGATCTTCCCTCGAACACCGGCTCTGCTCGTCACGCGACGAGAGAAATGACGAGACACAGAGGGGTAGGAAAGACGAGGAGAAAGGAGAAACTAGAAGCTCTCGTTTTTGTTCTCCTACGTCTTGCGTCGTCCTCGTAAACCTGGCTTTATTTATGCTGCCCTCGTCGGTCGCCCGCTGCAGTAGGACGACGGGAACGTGACAACGTGACGTGGTTACTCCATCGTCCTACCTCTTGCGCTCTTACAACCCTTAGAGCTTCGGTTATGTTCTTCCTGATAAACGTACGTTTATTTCGTTGTTGATGCCGACCTATCCGCTCCTGGATATTATTTTCGTGGTCGACGTAGAGGAAGAGGGTAGTTTGGGTTACAGAGACTTCGATGTTTCTTCGATCACGAGGGTTAATTATTTTTCAACGGACGATAGATCAATTTTTTTCTTTCCTGGGAAAAATATTTCAGTATCGTTAATTTGAGAAATCGGTCAGTCGGTACCATTATTCGTGAACAAAGCTTCTTTATCCTAGTTGTACGTCAGGATTCAGGTAACGCGGTAAGTTTTCTTTAACCTACCACTGCGATCAGTTTATACATCACTTGCACCCCTCGCTCGGTGGCGCGAGAACCGAGCGAGCAATTCGTTTGAGTTAACCGAACAGGGCGACCACTAAAAATGTATATTTAATGTTCTAGACCGAACTGGCTGCGTTGAGGGATCGCAAGGTGGTGATGCTGGCTCTGAACATCTCCACGCACAGACTGATCACCAATCTCGGTAATTCGGCCTCCTTGATCTTCACGGCTCTCAAAGACGGTGTGGCGGATCTCTATCGTGTTTGGGACGAAACCTTCCAAAAGTGAGTCCCTTCTATGAAATTTTTTATAATCGCTTAATTATTAAGTAATTGTTTAAGCATTCAGAATAAAGAAGATTAGAATTACTTTAGATATTTCTTACGGCGAGTTTCTATTCCTGATAAGGACGCGATTATCGAGTTTCGAACGGTCCGCTTGAATAGCTGCTTTAGGATCATTGACTGACCGTTGGTTGGTCGACGCGTGACGTTGGGCAAATATTACGAGAGGCAACGAAGCCAGGAAAGCAAACACCGGGAACCACGTGGAACACCATAGGCAGCAAGGGCTCGGATCTTTGGGATTTCGACCCGTGTCACGGGATTACTAGTTTTAGCCGGGATCGCCAGTTTAAGCTTGGACATTTCTAAAGTGACCGCCACCTAGAAGAAACGTCTATTTGAACAGTTTTTTTTCAATGTATACCCTGGCGACCAGTTTTGCCACTACATTATAGAAGCTCGAAAGGTTGAAAGACTGATGTTACATCATCGAGAAATAACCTAATTATTAATCATTTAATTTATTTTCAAATTATACGCGTGATATCGTTTGCATACATATTCAGATACATGGTAATGTTACTCGAGCCAGATGAAGCAAATCACAAATCTTGAAATTGATATGTGTTTCTGCGGGGGAGGCCCACTGGTCGAAATCTTGTTTTAATTGCCGTATGAGCACTTGATTCCTCTGTCTGATAGGGGTCTGACCCATGCAAAAGGGTTGACCAGTGACCCAGTGGGCTTTTACAAAGGTCACTCTTATCCCTCGGTACTGAAATATACACGACGTACAAATCGACCGTTCTCACCCAACCGATTCGTTTCTTTTAACGTTTCCGTCGCCGTTTCTGTATTCATTATTTTCCGATTTTTCACTTATTCGATTCGCACGCCAATGCGGAGGAAAACGAGCAGACCAGTCTTTCTGTAGGGCATTCGGATTGGTCTCGGATAAAGTGTTTCTGTTTGCCGATAGTGCCATCGGGGAGATCCACTAATAATTTGACGTCTTACTGTTTGCCGAGAGGCAAAGCCTCTCGTTCTACTTTTTATTGTGTTGACCCAGACTGCGATTTTTCCATTCAATTTTCCTGCTAGCTTTCACCGATCCCGGGAATCGGGGATAACTGTCTATCCGATGGAATAGATACTTCATCGACCGAAGAATAAAAACGTACATTTATTTACAAATTAGTTTAGGAATAAATAAAATTTCCAGGTATAAAATTCTTATTCAGTCGTGTCCTATAGAAACTTGACCATTTCTGACCAGGTATTTCAAAGAGGCTTAAAGTTCCTCGATTTTCAATTAGAGGCATAAAATCAGCCCGGTTCATGATCCCAATCCCTCCATGGAACTCAAGGTATCTTAACTGTATTTTTCAGGGGAAATCAACAACTGTGCGCCCTGCAAGCAGTCCAGCAGTTTAGTATACGTTGCCAGGTTACTGTCCGAGAAACAGGACATGAATTGTCAGGTAAGAATTAAAATTACTTATTAGAAAATCATATGTTTCGCGTTTGTACGAAAGTTGAAAACGATAGGAAGATGCCCTCTGCATGTACGAATCGTTATAAAATTGTGCTATGAAATGATAATGGTCCGGTATTTTGAATCCCGGGATGTTCGATTCCATTACAAGGTGGACGTGTGCGTCGTCGATCTGTAATGTGTGACGATTAGAGGCACGAGAATGGCTAAAGAGAAGAATTCAGAGGCGAGTGAGGGCCGTTAAGTGCGAGCGTTTTGCATCGTGATCCACGTCTTCGCTCGGATAATGGCTATCCTCGAGTCCACGCTCCTTTATTTCGCCTGCCTATAATGCCTATTACCATTTATACGGATCTCCCGCTCTCGATGCCCACCCTTGCCTTCTCTTACGTTCGAACAAGCGAGATTACCTCCGCCATTATTCACGCTCGAAAACTGATCGATCCAAGGATAGATTCCTGCGTTTCGTGCTTTCTGCGAATACTTTGTTGATCTTCAGTAATCATAGATCGGGAATAATATTCGGCGTTGAAATGATTGACGTGGACGAAATCTTAGCCGATATTCCCACGGTATCCTTGATTTTCAATCGGTTAGATAGCTGCCAGCAATTATTCAACGTCCTTGGATCCCCGTAGGTATCACTTGTGTGCATAAAACCATTTCCCCGCTTAGATTGGCTGAGATGGAAGAACTCTGGGGATATGGGTCTCGTAAGGAAAGGCGAGATTATAAGCCGAATCATGTTTATTGGTTCGTCTTTGAGAGAAAGCTTTTCTCGACTTTTGTTTTTTTTTCCTCTGGTCGAAGAAGCAAGGATAGTCCTCCCTAAGGAATCGGAAGAACGTGTTTGCGTTTGGTATAACGGATTCGAAGTTTATGTCGCAGATAAAATATTTGAAAGAAATATTTCAAATCTAAGGTGGAAATTATTCAGTTTATAAACGAAATGAATTAAAAGTAATTTAAAGTGATTAAATATTTACATTTTTAAAGTCGTATTCAGGGTCAAGTTGAGTGATCTAAATTTTCCGGAAGGAGGTAGCCAAACGAGGGAGAGAAGGGGTGAGATTAGAGGGTACGTTTGACAGATGACACTTGTCGATATCGTGTTTCGGTTAAACGCCATCGCATCCCCCTATTTCCACCATATCCGTTTTGCATTTGCATATAAAGTAAATCTCTTGGCAAGCTCGGCTCGCGTCCGCTCTCTCCGCTTTATGGACTTAAGGAGAAAAGTAGCTGGAGGTGAAGCAGGTGGCAGGTTTGTTATCACGACTTCCGATTGGCCTGGCCGTGTGCTACGCTCTTGTTAGAGAAACGTGCCGCCCGCCACGCGATATTTCCACCTCGACGTTGCTCATTTTTTTAACTCTACCCCCTACGCGATTAGAATAACTGCTTCCCGGCCGGATACGTGACCAACGGAAGTCAATTATTCCATCTCCTTTCAAATATTCTCGTTGTTTAATTAAAAGCGAAAGGTAATTAACAGGAGAAAAATTAAGATTTTTGAAAGAAGATAGATTGTTAATTAAATTCAAAAATTTTGTCTTCATATGAAATCATTTATTTATTTATTTATTTATTTATTTATTTATAAATCATCTTGCGATACACGAAAGTGAGAGAGGTAGAGAAAAGCAAGGCGAGCCGAGCAACTTCCAATTGTCCCCGTGCTTATTTCGCCTGTCTGAAAGACGTATAGCCCGCGACACGATATTTTTACCCTAACAAAGGTGTAAGGAACGGGGGGTGGCAACCCCGGGGTGCGTTAGCAGCAGCGTAGGAAGCTGTTTGACCGACGCGACGCGACGCTGCGAGCGTATTCAAAGTCCCGTCAAGACGAAGTAATCCACCGGGCCGACTGCTCGGTTTCGTCGATCTACAACACTCGAGGGGATAATTTCATGCACTCGACGTTACATCTTTCTTTCTCCTCTTTCCGATACGACGACCCTTTTTAGCGAGCTAAGAAACGCTCGACATTATACGACCTTACCCTCATCCATCGTCTCTCGCTGATTCTGTTTCAAGGAATTCTGATTGGAACGATAAAACGAAAGGGGGTGGCTCGAGATATGTAATAACTTCTACCGCGATGCTGATTCTTCTTCCGTTTAGATTTCCTCGGGACGATGAGCTTCGATTAGTTGTGCTTTTTTTTTTACATAGTATATTTTTCTTTTCCCGGAAGTCCTCCTTTAAACACAGAAAGGAAAACGTTGCGCGAATTAAATTTCATACGAACTCGTGATGATTGGTCTGAACGTGAAAAATCCATAAATTTTGATAGGCATTAAATAAAATATTAGCGAATAGGTTGGTGGTGGGCGAAGGGAAGTTTCAGGATCGTGTACGGCCGACCAGGGGTTTTGGCTACCTCAGAGGCAGCGACTCCCCAGGGAGCCGGGATCGTCAATCGCCCGAACGATTCCCTTTCCACTCACGTACGGCAATGGGCCGTGGAATCAGCGTACAAATACAAATTTAATATCGCCGGTGGATCGTTCAACTGACCAGTTGTAGCCTGCGGATATAGCGGTGTCGACGAGCCACCACCACGTTTTTACATCGACTAAAAACCTTTCCGGTTACGCTGAATGTGACATATTTAGATCACTTATTTCTCACACATTTTAATCCTCCGATAGCGGAGCCAAGTATTTTTTTTTTTTCTGACCAGGATATCTGAGATTATTTGCTCGACATCTATAATTAATTCCGTTCCATAAATTTTTCCCTCCTCTATCCGTCTTGCCCTTTAGATCGTTACATTAGTTTCATTCCCGTCGCCAAGTCCTAATTATACGCAAGAAGGTGGCTCGTTGTCCGACAGTGGCATCTCCGACAGCGGAAGCGAGCAGGAGCTGAGCGAACGTGAACGCAGGCTGGCTGCACTTCGTCGATTAACGCGCAGTGTGAAGAATCAACTGGCACCGGGAAGCGAGGCGCTCGGCCAGCTTTGGAAAAGAGTCGAGGACACGGAAACGGAACTCCGTGATCTTCAGAAACAGTGCCGGGAACTGATCGTACGCACTGCGGCAAGTGTCGAAGCACGGGCCTCCAAGCGGACGAGCAACAGCCAGGTCCATCACTACTCAGAGTGAGTACCTTTTATTTTCTTTTATTTTTTTCATTAATTTCCCTCGCTTAAAAATGAATCCTTTAACACCCTGAATTTCGTGCATACACGATAGCGAACGGGTTAAGAAGCTGGTTATTGGAAAACATTTTTCTTGGTGTACGGTCTTGGTAGTTTCTTAATTTATTCAGACGCTTCGAGACTTTCGAGGGAATAAAGAACGATTCTCCTCGGCTCGCATTCCATTTGCATAACGTCGGAATGAGAAGCAAAGAATGAAGGCGTCTATTTAGACGTGGGGACAAGAGCTCGACCCGTTCATAGTTCTACTCCCATAACGCGTTCGCTCATTTGAATATAAGAAGTTAGCTGTGAATGAACGCCTCCCTGTCTGTCTCCTATCCCGTTAAAATCCCGTTCGAGGTCTCTAAGTTATTGGCAACTATTTTAGTTGAAAGTGTACGTTTGCAAATTTATAAATTTTTCCATGTCAAACGAAGGAAAGTAGAAAGTGTGTTTCCTTGTTTTACTTTTTTTCCCGATCCGCTCTTTCAATCGCAATTACTCCGAATTCCCATTATCACCGGGCCACCTTATTTAACTTTGTTCGAAGAATGCTTTTTTTTATAGTCGCGTTTAATCACTGTTCGCTGGCTACAGTAATAGGTTTAGTTTTCGCTGTAGCATAGAATGCCGACCATAATGCATCGTAAAAAAAGTTGTAAAAGCTCGTCGCCCCTTTTTCTCGCCTCGCGCACTCCCCCTCTTTTCCCCATTTTAATCATAGAAACACCTTCTGACACCTTGTCACTTATTTTTTCATTTTAAAAAGCTGCGTATCCGCGAAGACACGTATCTAAATGCGATTTTCCTTGAAAACTTACCTTTTACTCGTTTCCCGCTCTGGCTTTCGCCCATGGGATGCCGTAAATTAATTAGCTCGATTAACGCAACACCTTCGATTCTCCGCACTGCGGGATGTTGTTGGTACTAGGTTTTGATATTAATTTAATCTTGAACATGGAGACTAATATGATTATCAAGTATCTTATTTACTTCCTCTCATTCCTTACAGCACAAATCTTAATGCTTCTTTTAATAACTAATTTATTTTTACTATATAGAGATTCTCATATTTTAGAATTTCCAGATCCTCTATAATTATTTATATACATTTTCCTTTTTCCAGCATGCACGAGTTCGCATCTTATTTATTCATCCAATTAATACTTACGCTTCAATTTTCACTTAATTTCTATGCTTTTCAGTCACAATCTGCACACCTGTCTTCCAGATCACTGTGTTACGAAAAAGGCTTAATTTTAAAAAGCACGCATATTTGTATGAATTATCCGCAGTTCCGTAAGCAACCTCTTCCGCCAGAAGGCCAGGATCCTCGTTCAAACCTTTTCCAGATCCTCCACGTTCGAGAAGGTGCCCAGGAGAATTCTCTAATAAACACGATTTTTCTTTTCCTCTGTGTATTTCTGCAGCAAGCGTAAAAAAACCAGCCCGACGGAGATGGCGAGAGGAAATTCGGAGCGGATCACGATGATCACTGCGAAAAGTGGCGTGACGGATGCCGGGGATCCCGACAACGAGCCAGGACTACCTCAAAGTTGGGTCTGGCGTATCCTGAGGGCGGCATTACCCTTTCAACTAGCTCTGGTCGCTCTATTCTGTGCCGCTTGCCTCTTGGAACCTCATTGTTGCGAGGCTGCCAACACTCTAAATCTATCTCTCACCCTTCAACTACGATATGTTAGGGGACCACCACCGGTCTGAGCCACCCAACGCTCGACCATTTGGGTGAACACGTTGAACAGAGCCGAAGCTCTAATAATAAACAGTGTTCGGATCGACTAATTTCTCCTGTCACCTGACTTTGTAGCTTCGTAGAGAGAGAGAGAAAAACGGATTCGTTGATCGCGATCACGAACGCAGGATCTAGAAAGGGGTGGTAGATCGTTGTTAGACATGAGGAGCGCACGATTTTCGGTAAATCGAGCTAGCTGGTACATTGCCAACGTTGCCGGGTTATTTGAGCGATCAAACGAGCCCGCCGAAGGCGGGCGACGTTCGATCGAAATTATGCGACACGTCTCGTTCGAAGATGATAATCTGTAATAATGCTCGTCATTGCTAAATTTTCACACATTTTAGAGTATAAGTCTTGAAAATTTTTTGGCGCCTAGCCTGTGATATCCGGCCGTGGCGCCACCTATAATCATATTTTTAGCGTTTTACAATTGAGTTTTCACTATTAGATGATCGTGGGTGTATTTTTCTGCGGGTATTGTAGTATGGGGTGGGAAAGTGATCATCTTCGAACGAGACGTGTCGCATAATTTCGATCGAACGTCGCCCGCCTTCGGCGGGCTCGTTTGATCGCTCAAATTATGCTATACGTCTCGTTCTTGATGATAATCTGTAGACTTTTAGAGTATTCGAAAACTCATTTGTTGTTTAGGGTGGTACATTTTTATTCATGTATTGTTTTAGGTTACATGACTGTTTGCCTTACAAGGGAAATAATTATACTGTCTTAGATGTATCTAATACAGATCTTGCGAATATAGCGTCCTTTTCTTGAATCGGACGGTTATAGAATTTTGCGAAGGTCTGTGACCCTTGAGACCAGCCTGCCGTACGCCTGATTGTGTCGACATCAACACCGTTTCTCATAGCTGCGGATACTGCTGCATGTTTTGTGCTGTAGGCTGTAAATTGTTCAGTATCAATGCCTGCTTTGGATAGTAAGGATTTTATCCAGTGTCCAATTGTCTGAGAAGTTACGTTTTTGTATGGTTTGACATTTGATATGAGTAATTTGTTGTTCTGATCATTTCTTAGACTTTTTGTTATTCTTACATAATCTATTACAGCGGTAGCTACACATAGTCCAGGTTTTTCTTTGTAAAAGGGTAGTATAAGCTCTGGTTGAGTTTTTCCCGGCTTGGATGTTTTTATCCGGTCTGAGATCTTTATCGTTATTTTTAGTTTACCAACAGAAATATTTCTTATATCGATTAATGCGATAGTCTGGAGCCTGTGTGCTGTAGATAAAATAAGTAGAGTTGATACTTTTTCTGCTGCTTCCTTTAGCTTTAGTGAATCTAATGGGTGAAGTCGTTCTATATGCTGTAACACTGGTGTTGTGTCCCATGTACTAGCATATTTGGGTTTTGGGGGTCGCTCCTTATATATCCCTTTAAAAAATCGTGCCAGCAGTTTATCTTTGCCGATATCTTGTGTGGAGATGAGTGATATAGCCGACCTGGTGGAATTTAAAGTCCCATAGCTTGCTCTATTATTAAACCTTTCTGTTAAAAATCGCAGGACCTCTATTGCGCTCGCATCAAAGGTTGATATATTATTTGATGTAGAAAACTCCCACCATAGCTTTAGGGGGCTCTGATATTGCTTAATTGTTGATGGTGTTATAGACTTGACCATGATGTCGGCTGATGCTTCATTGATTCCTTTATTCAGAAACGCTTTGCGGATAAGTTCCCGGCCACCATTGAAAGTTTGTGTGCCAGTGGATGTATTTCCTGTCTGGAAGGGGACAATAATAGATCTTTATGAGGTTTAAATACTATAGGTGATTCTATGAGCAGTGATGTGAAGAGCGGGTACCAGGGCTGTGTTGGCCACAATGGTACCACGACTGTTCCCTCCGCTTCATCAATTATTATTTTTCGCAAGGTTCTGAGAATAAGTGCGAAAGGAGGAAAGGCATATATTTTTTCTTTCGACCATCGAATGGTGAAAGCGTCAACTGTCGTTGTATCGGGTTCTGGAAGACGGGAACAAAATCTAGGACATTTTCGATTTAATCTTGATGCAAAAAGGTCAATTGTAAAGGCTCCAAACTTCCTGTTGATTTTTTCAAATGCCTTACTACATAGTTCCCATTCTATATCTATGTTAGATATTCTTGATGCTCGATCAGCTTCTGTGTTCTGAACTGAAGGGATATAAGACGCGAAGATCCAAATTTTTCTCCTTTCGCACCATTGCCAGACCTTTCGGGCTAAATCGTTTAAATGGGGATATTGAATGCCACCTGTTCTGTTGATATAGGATATTGCAACCGTGTTATCAATTCTTAGGAGAATTTCGCAATTTGATAGTTTGTCTGCGAAACATTTCAGGCCAAAGTGTGCTGCTAGCAATTCTAGATAGTTTATGCTAAACTTTCTTTCCTCGATCGTCCAGAAGCCATGACTATTTACACCGTTACAGTATGCACCCCACCCAGTCAAAGATGCGTCTGAAGCTATCTCAAGTTTGAACTGTTGGGTTCTAATTGGGTTTGAGCCTGTTGGTATATTTCTTTTCCACCAGTATAGTTCGTTCATTATTAACTTATTAACGTAGATTCGACCGTCGTAGTTGTTATCATTTAAAATTAATGATAAATATTTTTGTCTTTCTAGTCTTTTACAGTAGATAGACCCATATGCAATTGCTGGGCAGGCTGCAGACAGCTTTCCCAGCAGTTTTGCAAAGTCTCTAATTTTATAGTATTTGTTTTCCTCAAAGGTATTAATTAGTGATTTTATCTATTCCTTCTTACTGTCTGTTAACTATAATCTGAGGTCTAATGAATTGATAATAAAACCCAAATATTTACATTTTTGACTGGGAGTCTGTGAGCTTTTTGATAGTTTATGATGAAGCCTAATCGTTCCAGCAGCTTTCTTACCAGAGTAGAATTTTCTTCACAGGATTTATCTGAATTTCCAACTATTAAGATATCATCTATGTATATAACTGACAGAATTCCTAGTTCCCTAATTTTATGCATGACTGGTTTCATGATTTTTGTATAAGTAAAGGGACTTGTGCATAAGCCAAAAGGTAAACATGTAAACTGAAACATCTGCCCTTGAAATCTAAATCTTAAGAATTTCCGGAAGGATTTATGAGTATTAATAAGGTAATATGCGTCTTTTAAATCTATTGAACACATATATGCACCTCTAGATATTAAGTGTTTAGCGGATTTAATATCCTCCATTTTAAAATGGGTAGTATCAATAAATTTGTTTAAATTTTTTAGGTTAATAATAAATCTGCTGGAACCATCTGGTTTGTCAACTAGAAAGAAAGAGGAAATAAATTGATTATCTTCGTCTTCACAGGGTTCTACTACTTTTTTAGCTAGTAGTTTGTTAACTTCTTGTTTTATTTTAATAAGATTGTGTCTAGCCCACTTTGGCTCTGCTGGCGGTCTTAATTGGTATGGAGTTGTTTTAAAAGGTATTTTATAACCCTTTAGACATTCTAGAACAAATGTATCATCGGTGAGTTGTTCCCAGTTTTTTATAAAGTGTTTCAGGCGGCCTGCCGGTATGCTTGCCTCAGTTACTTCCTTGGGGGCAGACGATGACTCGCCGCCCGGCTCGATGCTTTTGTCGTGCTGTAACTTGTTCGCTGAGGCCTGGACTTGAATCTTATTACAGATTTTTTCTGTTGGTTCCCCACCTGCTTGTATTTTGTAGGTGGGTACTTCGAGTTTCCCTGGTCCCTGGATTTGGGGTTTATTGTTGTAGGTGTTGCCTTAATGCTAGAGCAGGCCTTTTCTATATCTTTAGCCTCCTTTACTTGTTCGGCAAATTTTTTGCCATACAACCATTCATCTGCTTTGGTAGCATCAACTGTTGGCTTAACCGATTTGTTCATTAGTGGGGTAATGAAGGCTCTTCGTGCCTTAGACTGTTGATGAAATACGTCCGTTAGTAGTTTTCCCGTATCGCATAAGTATTTCATGAGCGCCTCCTGGTCGATACCGTCTTCCGGTGCTTCCAGAATCATGGACACTGCCGCACCTAGTGCCGAAATCGCCGAGCCAATACAGTTTTGTGTCTCCGCAAAGTGTTCATCTCGTTTTAAGGCTATTTCTGTCATGACTGGACCAATTTCTATGTTTACTTTTGGTGCCTCCGTGTAGAAATCGTCCTTTCTAGGATAGGTTTCGAGGATATTTTTCTTTTTATCCTCCGGGTAACCCTCCTGCATCCATCTTTGCCAGCGAATCTTTAGTTCTTCATTTATTTTTATTGGTATTTCTTTTTTGGTGTCAGGATGCTCTCCTAGCATTTCTAACATAACCTCATTGATGGGGGTTTTATTTACGGGTATTTCCCTATCTTCCGTACTAGCGATATCGAGTGGTTCCTCAGCCTCTTGTGATTGGGTGAGGTTGCCTGTATCAACGTTCTCCTTATCCAGGTTTTTGTCTGGAAGAGAACATTTTTAACGCATGATTACACTTATTGTGTACATTGTTATTTATTCCTAAATATTTATTTCTTTGTCATACGGACTTGTTAGTCGTATGGACTTTATTGTAGGCGTTTTTTGTCTTATAGACCTTGGTCGTATGGACAGCTTTGTCGTATGGACGGTTTTGTCGTATGGACAGTTTTGTGTGTATGTATTGTTTACATATACGTAGATATATTATAAGTAAATGTCTCGTATGGAGACTAAATACTTTATGTAGCATGATAACGGTTTCGTATGGAGACTCGTGTATCTTAGTGTTCCTAATTAATATTTACATGCGCTTTGATTCAAGTTTTTCCCATCAGCGGCTTTATTTAACTCTGCCAGCTGAGAAATAACCTTTGTGAGGTTATTAATCTGATTTTCTATTCTTTCGAATCTTTCATCCGTTTTTTGCTTCTTCCTATTTCTTTCCCTTGATCGTGAACGGGATCCTTTCTTCTTTTTATCCCCTGACATAATAAATTCTTTACTATTAAGTAGTTTTT